TTTAATAAACATTGACAAGTTGTACCTCTAATGAACAATTTATTTATTGCAGTCTGAGAGCCCTGCTCCCTTAGCTAAGAGGACTTGTTGCATTGAAACAACCAACAAAACAAGGCCACTTCCAAGATCCACCTGCTCAGGCTCAGCTCCCGACTCAGAGGATGTAGGCAGGTGTGGCTGCTTGGTACCATAGCACCAGAGAAGAACAAACTCATGGGCAGGAAATGTCTACTTGAACAATGGAGGTTCTGTATGGACACCCTACTGTTTCTATTCCTACTTTAAAACATGAGACGCATATGATCTCCATGTTGTAACAGCTCCGCTCCTCCATTTCCACAACTGGAAGTGATGGTTATGACCAATAAAGCACTATATATGGCTCAGGTCCAGGCCCTTTGAAAGACCGTATCCTCCTATAGAAGCATACCTAGTTACAAAAAAAAAAAAAAAAAAAAAAAAAAAAAAAAAAGGGGGGGGGAATTCCTTTTTTTCAAGAAAACAAGAGCTTACCAGACAAGGTGGCCTCCCAGTCATCTTCCTGCTTATCCTCCAGGGGAAGCTGCATCTTCAAGACAACAGGGGGAGAATGATCTGACTTGGGGGAACTAAGAGATCCTGACATCTAAAAAAAATAAAATAAAAAAATTATTATGTGGAATCAAACGTTACAAGTACAGTAAAACCCTGCACCCAAAGTCCACCTCTCGATCTGACCAAAAACCCAACTATAAATCTTTCTGGCAACCATCACCACCATCCTGCAAAACCCAACCTACTGCTGGTCTCATGAGACCATGTGAAGGTTCTGCATATTGTTTTGCTTTCATTGATGATACAGAACTATGGCCCACTGATTTATCCAAACCATTATGCTATGATCTTGGATGTTGTCTCTACACTAATCCAAAGAATATGGGAAATAAACAGGATGAACTTGAACCCAACACTAGAAGGAAACAGGAAGCCAAGTGTTGCTAGACATGCACTCTGGATTTCCAGAAAGTGGATTTCAGTAGGTTTTGGGAAATACTGGATGAGATCCCATGGTCAGAAATACTCAAAGGGAAGCGAGTTCATAATGTCTGAGTGTTTCTTAAAGGAAACGTATGTAGGAAGAAAACACAATGAAGCAGAGAAACTCCTGTAATGTACCTCTCTCTCTATATATATATAAAAAAAGTACTGTAATTGGAAAAAGTTACAGCTAGACCTATAAACCACCATGGTCCAACCAGGGGCAGTCTTAACCTGCAAGTGCAAAATAAGTCCATCCCCAGCTTGGACCAAAAGTTGCTCATGATTACACTGCAGAGTCAGTGTTGCCTCTCTTCATGGTACAATCTTTATGTAATTTAGGCATGCTGCAGTTATTTTGAAAAGGAATTACAGGTTGAGTATCCCTTATCCGGAATTCTATAATCTGAAATTCCGTACTCCAAAATCCAAAATTATCCACATGGGTGGCAGATATAGTGACACCTTTGCTTTCTGGTGGTTCAGTGTACACCAACTTCGTTTCGTGCACAAAACTATTTAAAATATTCAGGCTAGGTGCATACAAAACATAAGTGAATTTCTTTTTTTGAAATATCTCCAAGATATCGAATTATATGTGTATGCAAATATTCCAAATTAAATAATAATAATAATAATAATAATAATAATCCAGAATCCAAAACACTTCTGGGAGTTAGTCAGACTTTTTTTAGCGTAACTATACGAATAATCTCACTCACGCATTCCAGGTTTGTTGTTCACACTATGGAACCGCATCTCTGCAAGTTCTGTTACTCACATGTGCTAGCACTCAAATAAAGATGGAGTTGGTTATTCACATTCCCAAGAATGCGAATCTTTTAGAAAAACTTGGGGGGGAAACCTGAGATCGATTATCCCTGGTTAAGTGGGGCTTTTGGCAGCCTTCACACAAACTTAACTGGATGCATCTGAAATGCATGTGAACAACAAAAATTCAACCCAGATTCTACCTGGATTATTTTCACCGTCTGAATAACCGGCTTGTCCCAAGCATTTCAGATAAGGGAGACTCAACCTGTGATTGTAAGTAGTGTGTTTTGTTTTGTTTTTGAAAATGCCCAAACCCTCACCTTCTGTTCTGGCTCCTCAGAGTCTTGAAGGAACCGTTCCGCTAGGGCTACGGCCCGGGTACAAGTCTCAGGACCGTGCTCCTTCACCCAGCTCTGCATCTCTGGAGGCAGGACAGTCAAGAACTGCTCCAGGATCAGGAACTCCAGGATCTGCTCCTTGGTGTGCGTCTCCGGCCTCAACCACTGATGGCACAGCTCCCAGAGCTTGTTACAAACCTCCCGGGGGCCCTCGGCCTCCTCGTAGCAGAAGAGCCGGAAACGCTGCCTCCGCATCTCCACGTTGACCTGGTCCTCATCGAGAACTTCCTCCTTCACTTTCACGGGCGAATCCTGGCTGCTCTCATAGGTCTTGCTGTCGTCTGACACACTCCGGGCCGTAGACTCGACTTTAGGCCACCGACTGCCTTGTTCTCCAGCCTTGAAGGAGCTCTGGAAATACTTGGTATCTTCTCCTGGCATATAATGAGGGGACTGCGGGGGGTTCCTCCATCCTGAGCGGCTCGGCTGCATCGTTTTCAGGAAATCTTGCAACTGGGTCTCCCAGCACTGGTCTTCTGGCTCCCGCTTGAACTGCTGCGGGGGGACTGCCCCTTCCAGCAACTCCCCAGTAGCCCCAATTTGGACCACATGGAGGTCTTGGGCTCCCCGCTCCAAACTCTCCCGCGGTTCAGGTCCGGTGGATTCTTGTTCCTCCATTTTGGTTTCCGATACTGACTCCTGAATTGGGAACAGAAAGAAAGTCAGGGGTCATTCAGATGTTGTTTCTTTTAGCGTTGACTATGGGAATAATCTCACTCACACATTCTGGGGACGTTATCACACGTGGGCCAAAAAGCGAAAATAAAGTGGAAATGA